CTAGGTCATATTTTCCTGTGTAAAATACTTCTTTCCAGCACATACTTCTTCTGTGCTGTCATTTAGGTGGCTTACATCTGCTAAGGAGCAGTGCATTTCATAGTTTCTAGAGTCGGAAGGGACCTGGGCAGATCATCTAGTCCGACCCTCTGCCATGGCAGGAAAGAGTACTGGGGGTCAAACGACCCCAGCAAGATGGTCATCTAACCTCCTCTTAAAACCCCCCAGGGTGGGAGCCTGCACCACCTCACTTGGAAGCTGGTTCCAGACCCTAGCCGCCCTGACCGTGAAGTAGCGCCTCCTGATGTCCAACTTAAACCTTCCCTCCGCCAGCTTGTGACCGTTATTCCTGGTCACTCCTGGCGGCGCTCGGGGGAACAGGGACTCCCCCAGTGCCTGTTGATCCCCCCTGACTAGTTTATAGCAGGCCACAAGATTCCCCCCTCAGCCTTCTCTTCTGGAGGCTGAACAGGTTCAGGTCCCGTAACCTTTCCTCATAGGACCTGCCCTGCTGTCCCTTGATCATGCGAGTGGCCCTCCTCTGGACCCTCTCGATGCTGTCCACATCCCTCTTAAAGTGCGGCTCCCAGAACTGGACGCAGTACTCCAGCTGCGGCCTGACCAGTGTCGCATAGAGGGGGAGGATCACCTCCTTGGTCCTGCTTGAAATGCATCTGTGGATGCACGACAAGGTACAGTTGGCCTTCCTAGCCGCCTCCCCACACTGCCGAGCCATGTTCATCTTGGAGTCAATAATGACTCCAAGATCCTTTTCCACCTCCGTGCTGACAAGAGGGGAGTTCCCCAGCCTGTAGGTATGGTGCCGGTTGTTCCTCCCCAGGTGCATCATCTTGCACTTGTCTGTGTTGAACCCCATCCTGTTCTCCTCCGCCCATCCTTGTAACCTGTCAAGGTCCGACTGTAGCCTGTTGCTCCCTTCTATTGTGCCCACATCCCCCCACATCTTGGTGTCATCAGCAAATTTGAACAGGGTGCTTTGCACCCCCTCATCCAAATCACTGATGAAGATGTTGAACAGGGCGGGCCCGAGGACCGAGCCCTGCGGGACCCCACTGCCCACGTCCTTCCAGGCCGAGAAGGACCCATCCACTACCACCCTCTGGGTGCGGCTCTCTAGCCAGTTGGCGACCCATTGGCCTGTGTGGGTGTCTACGCCACAGTCCCCCAGTTTCCTGATGAGAATGGGGTGAGAGACAGTGTCGAAAGCCTTCCGGAAGTCCAGGAAGACTATATCCACTGCTGCCCCTGCATCCAATAATTTAGTGACCTGATCGTAGAAGGCCACCAGGTTGGTCTGACATGACCTGCCGCTGATGAACCCGTGCTGGTTGCCCCTGAGCATGCATTTCCCTGCTGGCCCCTCCTGGATGTGTGCCAGAATAATTTTCTCGAACAGCTTGCCCAGGATCGAGGTAAGACTGACTGGCCTATTTCGTGTGAATTGTGGAAGATGAACATATGAGAGACCACCAGTGACTGATGATTTGAAGTGCTTGGGACTACATTTTGGTGGGATCTGTGTTTAACAGAGTATATTAAATCTGTTTTATGAAAAGCTTGCAGTAAGCCATGCTTAA